AATAGACTTTAATTAGTACAGAATGGGTGCATCTTGTGAGGTTTCAGTTTGGATCAGGAATGCACTTCTGATGCAAATTTGCTAGTTGTGGTGATAACGTTTACAAATATGTAAGGGGTGAGTGTCAGGGGGACGGAGTTAGGCTTTTCTCAGTGATGACCAGTGATAGGACAAGGGGTAATGGGTGTAAATTAGAGCATAGGAGGTTCAAGGTGAATATCCGAAAAAAATTTTTTACTGTAAGAGTGACAGAGCACTGGAACAGACTGCCCAGGGAGGTTGTGGAGTCTCCTTCACTGGAGACATTCAAAACCCACCTGGATGCGTTCCTGTGTGATGTGCTCTAGGTGACGCTGCTCTGGCAGGGGGGTTGGACTAGATGATCTTTCGAGGTCCCTTCCAGCCCCTAAGATTCTATGATTCTATGATTCTATGATTTACATCATAGAATCATAAATAGGAATTTACATCACAGAACCTGATGGAAACTGAGTATTATTCAAAGATGTGATAGGAACAGACTTTGGAGAAGGGGGTCAGAATGAAGGCAAGTGAAAGTTACCTTTGCAAGACCCTGCAGTTTCTTGTATGAGAGGAGACTGTGTCTTGAACATAGCATAATTTTCAAACAAGTTTTCCAGTCTGGTTTTTGGTTCTGTGTGATGGCTACTGCATGCATCACATGAAATAAAGAATCTAACAATATTATAAGCTACAAGCGTTATTATGAAGATAGATAACATTATAATTAGTAGTTTTGCTTAGGATTCATCTGGCTTATACTGCAGCATACACTTTTGTACAACCCAGCTCGTCATGCTAGACTCCTTTCATAGTTGTGGAAGAGAAATGGGCAACATTCAGGCACAAATCACTGTATCTGGGGGGATTTGAGTCAACCTTAGTTTCAGAGACTTTCAGATTTTTGTAATGTCTGCATATGGGATATAGGCTTGTACCTCTTGCCTTAAAATTTGCAAACAGTTACATTTGAGATGTCTGGGATTATTCTACCTTCAAGAAAGGCATGTGTCTCTCCTAAGTCCTTTGCCATTTATGTCAGCCTTGTTAGGCACCTGAAATTACACCAAATGCATCTGTTTAGGCAAATAAATTAATCTCTGAATGTATGAGCTCCTGTTGCAGTCAGTAGAGAACTGGTCAATCTGGTTAACATAGTCTGTAAATTCACCTCACTGAAAAGTAAACACCTGTGGTTAAATTCTACTCTGAATATTTGAAAATAATCTTTAACAATAGGATGCTTATCTTTCTTACCATAGTAACACTTTGCTTTCATTATTTTAGGAAAATACTTCAGCTTATGCTAACTATTTTTAAACAAATATGCAAATGATCTAGGTTGCCTATGGAAACAGATATTTCTTGGCTGTATAAAAAAAGAGTTGTTCAGAAGATACATATATGGATGGATATACAAAAATAATAGTTTGAGAAAATGGATGTGGATGCCAGAAAGGCATTGGGGTACCAACATTTATTCCCAAGTTGTATGATTAATATTATTTATAGGGATGAATGAACCTTTAAAGATTGCCATTTGAATCTGTTTGGTTTTGAAGTTCAAAAGTGAAAAAAAATCTTGAAATGCCTTTTGAAATTCCAATTAAGAGTCAGTCAAAACCTATCACTGAAAGAATAGTTTTAGTTTTACAAATTAGCAATTAAAAAGTGCCAAATATCTTCAATGCTTAAACACTCTTCTGCAATACCCATTATGTTCAAATAATGCTCTTTCTGGGAACATGAGTATGTTCCCCAGCATTTTTTTTAAATTTTATTTTCTCCTTTATCTTAGGAATGGCTCCAGAAGCCTTCTATCTAACTCTAAAGCTGCATTCACTTCACCAATACTAGGCATTATGCAAATTATTTCATGAGTAGTTTAAAGTCTGGTTTTGTATTATAATATGGGTAGCTTACTTTGCTATTATGTTTCTTTTTCTACTAATTTTTTTCTGTTTTATTCTTTTGCATTTTATGTAATTATTTATTTCAGTTGTTTATTTCTTCAGTTTTCTTACTAGAGTAGTAATAATTTGGGAAAGTAGACTTTTTTTTTTTTTTTTGTACTACAAGAGCATGTGAAGTTTGGGACTGAGATTATTTTTCTATTTTTGTAATCATTGTTGATGTTAAAAATGGCTTAAGGCAGCCAGCCCTCTGAAGAACAGGCATTCCATGAGCTGATGTGTCTTACCTCCAGAATATTATGTGGGATTTTGTTGTTAATATTCTTTTTTGACAGTTTCTCTGTAGAATGTGGCACCACTTTAGCAGAATAACAAATACCAACCTCTGAATATATTAATACTGTGGAAAACAATTTAGTATCACGTTGCTGTAAGTTATGTCCCCTTACTAGCAGGTTGTGTTATTATGACAGAGATTTAAATTTTATCTGTTCTCATGGATTTGAGGACTTACTGTTTATGCAAGGTGCCAATGTGCTAGAGAAATGGGAATAGTTCACCAAGAGAATACAATGTTTGTCTCTCAGAAAAAGGAGAGCAGAATGTAGTCAGACATAAACTGGTTACAGAAAGGAAAAAGTGAGAGAAACATTGATGAGACTGGTCACTAGGTCAAATCAATAGGTCAGAGAGAGCTATCATTAGAGAACCCTAAATAATAGTTATTACTCAAGGAAAACCAGTGACCACTACCCTGATGGTCAGTAATTTTGGACAGTGCAGTTAGGTGATGCTCACAGTTAGTAAATGTTAAAATTACTGAAATAAATAGGAAAAGAATGAGCATTTCTACTTTGTATTTGTAGTTGGGCCTGTATCTGAACTCAAACCTAAATCTGGGTTGTGCCTTTAGTTTGGGGTTACTTCTTTGCACTCAGGTGTGGGCCAAGGATTATGTGGTGGGAAAAATTTGGGGGTTACACTCTTCCTTGGCACAAATGAAATTACTCATTCACCACATCTCAGTGTGCTTGTCCAACCAGTATTAGTTTGAGAAAAATTGGCTACAGAATCCTTCCTGCAACGGTCCCAGTGTTACCTGCTGGAAAAGCATCTGGGATTTTAGGCAGCTGGAACTTAAACTTCCCTTGTAATCTTAAGGATGCACAGCACTGAGGTATTAGTTTGGGGCTGAGGTTTATTTTCAGTGCTTCAGATACAGATGCAGGCTTAAGTTCCAGCAAACAACCCACAAAACAAATACAGAGCGTCCTTGGAAGCTGTCTAACACAGCCTAAGCCTGCCCACTCTGTGTGAGTTCTGATGCCCTCTTCTGCTCTCCACCTAAACCCAGCCATCAGAAAACTATTCAAAGGTGCCTTTGTTTTCAGGACATGTTTGATTGAATACTGTCATGAGAAACAGAGAAGAACCTAATTAATTCTGAGACCCCCAAGTTTAGACAGTCCTAAAAAACCCACAGTGCTTGTAGTTAAATATCTAAAAGATAGATGTGACTGAAGTAGGTCCTTCTTCCTTCCTCTTTTAGGGTTGCGTATCTAAATACAAATTTTTGTTATAGTGACAGAGTAAATTACAATTAGCAGAAGGAACAAAGTCTGTTAGAGCAGACTGGATGGCCACAGAAAAGCTGTTTTCCTAACTTCTCACTATCTTGCAATGAAATAGAAATACCTTTTTTTTGGAACACATGGTATACTTGATATGCATAATCCTTCCGCATAATTAAACAATTGTCCCTGTCATGATTTTTTTAAATGGTGTTTTCTCTTCTCAAGTCTAATAGCCATAGCTAGCTCTGTAGGGAAGGGTGAATGACTGTAATTCTATCAGCAATTTATATCTTCTGTGGGCTGAATTGTCCCCAGGAGATGCCTGCCTCTTTCCATGGTCTCCAGGAGCAGGCTAGGCTCCTAATTTATGCATCATACTTGAGCATCTGAATTAGAAGGTGAAGTCTGGGTCATTAGTTCTGTGTTTCTGGTGCATGATGACTTTAATTTGAAGTTAATATCTGAAGTTTCAAAGAAAGAGTATGCCTTTGTGAGCCATTGTACTTGATAGAAGGGACTGCTTTGTGCTTCTAGTTTCACTTTGAAGGAACATTTATGTAATTTTTTACCCTGTAATTCCTTTACTGTTATCAATAGAAAACCCATAATGGATCATTGATTTCTAAATGTCTTCAATATTTAGCTTATATTTTTTTTTTCCTTTTTGTTTGTAATTAAACTACATGATCACTGAAAGAGAAAATACATCACCCATAATCAGGGATAAGCTAAACAGTGCTAGAGTGTACATGACATGTTTCAGCTTTAGAGAGTCCTCCAAATTGTAGCTAACTATTGAAGCCATCAAAGAACTGTGAATGTTAGACTCATTTCTTCCTTCCCACTGAGTTTCATGCAATGTGCTTGATTCCTGTTACCAGGAGAGTTTTGCCAATTTACACCTGTTGACAGTCTGCTGTCCTTTGATAATTGGACATATAGGTGAATGACTACCAAAATGTTGTCCGAACATCAAGGATCTGCATGCATAAATTGCTAAAGCAAAGCATTTTCCCTTCTGTGTAGCATATAATTTAATCCATTATTACTGCTGCCATTAAAGACTGCATATGACTTAAAGCAGAAAATTAAATAACTGTTTGCCATTATTACAAATTATTGTGTTTTGACAGCTTGCTAATCAATTAAAGTAAAAATGGTGCTGTACAAATAATGCAGTTGCTTTTAAAGTAACATTTATTTTAGCATGCGTGAGAATTCTCCTTGTTTGGGTCTTTGAACCCTTATAGGATTTGTCCTCTATGACATGTTAATATTCAGAAGCATAAATAAAGCTTTATTTGAGTTGTGCTGTGATGCAGAATTGATTTCTCATTATAGTTACTCTATACATAAACTTGGGAAACATTTGACCATCATATGCTGGCTATAGATATTTCTTCCACTGCTGACTACATCAATTAATAGGCAAGTGGATGATTTATATTGAGCAGATTTTGACATACCAATATGTACTTTGTGCAATATTCAGGTATGGGCTGCTTCTGGGGAGCTGAGAGGAAGTTCTGGAGAGAGAAGGGAGTCTATTCCACTCAAGTGGGTTATGCAGGAGGTTTTACTCCAAATCCTACCTACAAAGAGGTCTGCTCAGGTAAGCTTTTCTCTTTGTTTTTTAAATATTGTGAGTAGAATGCTATCAGATTATGGATGACAATGAAGAGTAAAATGAGTGACTTCAGCAACTAAAGAGATTGGATATTTAGTCAACCCTGATACTGGCCTTGAAACCTCAACTGTAATGGTATCTATGGTATGTCCATGCCATTGTCATCTCCTAATAATTAATGAGGTGATTTATGTACAAATGTTCTGAGGAAAAAGAAAAAATAATTTATTCCTGAAATGAATTCTGTTTCAAATTATGCAAATGTGTTCCTTAGAAATAGCATGACTTTAAATTTTACTTTTGTCTCTGAGTATGAACAAAAATCAAAAAGCACACATGCTTTCCATATAGCCAGGAGGTTGTATGGAGAAGTTCTCATTTGCATCCTATCATTTCCACCCCAAATCCTTGCATTTATTTTTCATTGCGCTCATACTAATCTTCTACACTACTAATAACCCAATACATTTTCTTTCTGTGATCTAAAACATAGAACCACTGGCAGCTAACTGACTAATGTTTCTGTTAAAGCTAATCCTTGCTTTCCTATACTTGCTGGTGGAGAACAGCTTGAAGGTTTTTTGGTTTATTTTCTTGTTAACACTTTTCATGCCAAATGCTGAAATGGCTATACTGTTCTCACTGGCAATCTGTCACATAGACTTGATAGAGAGAGTTAAAAGGTTCAGTGACACAGACAAATCATGGACAGTTAAATGACTGTGCAGAAGAGCTGCAAGGCACCCCAAAAAGCAGAAACTTTCTGAAAATAGTAAAAAATGTGAAAAGAGATGTTTTACGGTGGTATTTCACAGACAATACTGAACTCACAAGAAATTGCTTTATAAATGCTAAAGAAAACATACAGATTAGGGAGAGTTTTTCCATGATTCTCCTAAAGAAGTTCTTTGGGTAACTTACAGCAGTTTGTATGCTCCTGAGTGCAAATGTATAGTGTATAGAAATAAGGTATAGTGTATAGAATATAGTGTATATAAAGTGTATAGAAAAAAGGACACCATGCCTGTAGCAGTACCTGTTGCATCGATACCCAGAACTCCTGCAAGTCTTATCAATAAGAAACTTCATCTATGGAATGATCAGTGATGCCCATCTTACTTATCCGAATGATCCTTTGCTTCCTAATACTTTTGCACTCATGTATTCTGTACTTTCATAATTTCCCTGCATTATCTGTTATGTTTATAAGCAAGTATCTGGTAATTGCCCACAGTGTTTAATGGCCTGGGTATTGAATAATTAGGTTATTTAGATAGAATAGTGATGTGTAGCACAACTTTTCTTTCTCAATATGCTCGCAGTTCCAATACACTGACGGTAGTTATGATGGGCTGTTGAGTGTTTCTCCAAATATTCTGAGTGCTGGCTGTTGGCCAAGGGGAGATGTGAGCCACAGGGCAAGGTGATGTAGCCAGGGAAGTAGGAAAAAGGCACCATCCTCCCCAGTTCTGTGCAAAATAGGCTGGTTTTATATTTCAGAATAGCTCCATATATCATTAGCTTTGTGTTTGAGATATTGTTAAAGCTTTGTGATATCTGCTTTATATGTTTTATTTATTTTATCTGTAGCCAACAAAAATAAAAATGGTAATTAAATAACAAAAATCCTGGAATAAAGAAATGGGAAAAAATATTTTAAGTCTATTTCTGATAGGTTTTTTTTAGTTAGATTTGTAGTGCAAAAACACAGCTGAGGTTATTTTTTATGTGCATTTGCATTATGTGTGTTTATATGCCTCCAGATGCTGGAAACTGGAGGAGTTCTTGCTCAGAGATATCCAGAAGCATAAGCACATATTTCATAGCCTTGTCTGTGTGAACATAAAAGGGATGTGTGTGTGTCACACATTTCTGTTCCTAGTTGTGCACCCAAGCTGAGTTGTATTATTTACTGATTTCTGCATGCTATTTTTCCCTACTTATCTTCCTCTTGCTCTATTTTATTCTGATTTTTGGGGCGGGTTTTGTTGGTTTTTTTTTCATTTTGAATATAACCTTTTGGAATTCTCCTTAAAGAGAGCTCTCACAAGCACTCCTAAAATATTGCTATCTGACTTCTTCTATTTGCTATAGTTGTCACTGGGAAGAACCTCAGTTATGCACTGTGTGACTGTCACTTTCATATTAATGTCTTATGAAAGTTCATATCTATTGTAAACACTTAATAGTCATGTCCTCCAGCTCTAGGCAGGACACCAAGGCCCCAGTTGCTCTTGGGTATCTCAAAAGTAACTGGGTGTAGTTGAACATCTCATTCAAATCTAAGGTGTCTGTATGTATATTCATTATCTATACTTCTGTCTGGAGCTAAGGACATGAGCAGTGCACTGTTGTTTTATGTGTATATGTGCTACTACACAGTGTGAAGGCAGGGGAGTGTGTGCCTGCTGAGACATAAGATCTTCCAGTCTCTTGTTCTGGATATTCTTGGATGCATGTACAGTTTTGATCATGTAGCTGTCTTTACCCATGGATATTATATGTGTGTGCATATGTATGTTATACATATATATGGACCCCTAAGGCACATCACTTGTTACTGATCTTCATTTGGTCATTGACCTGTTGACTGCAACTCTTTGGATACAGCCACCCATCCCATTCCTTATCCATCTAATAGTTCATCCATCAAACCAGTATCTCTCCAATTTGGAGGCAAGGATAGTGTGTGAGATTGTGTCAAATGCCTTAAGAGAAGTCAAGTTAAATGACATCAGTTGCTCTTCCTCTGTGTTCACTCCATGGCAGAAGGACATTAGGTTAGTCAGTTGACTAATTTTTCAGAGTTTCTCCTTGGAAAGCTGATCTTTTTTACACTGCAGTAAATACATTTCCTGCTTGCAGATGTACCAGCAGCCAAAAGCAACAGGAGTATGTTCCAGGTACACTGGCTCATAGAGCTGACAGAGGTTTTTGTCTTCTTTTGTATTTAGGTTGTTCTTAATGATCTCAAATAATATCTGGTTTTGAGACCTCTGAGGACTACACAGTCTTAAATATAACTGATCTTAAAGTCTGCAACAGCATGGCACTAACATCTATATTTAAATACCTGTAAATTGAGGAGTTACTGCGATGGAGGCTTGGAGCATGTTGATTACAATTTGATATTCTGCTTCACCCTTTATACTAAGTTTGTTACTCTAGAGTAGTATCTTCTATAGAAAACAAGAACATGCTTAGGGTTTCCTTCTTTTATTCATGCCTTTAGTGTATTTTCTGGATAGGATGTGTTGTGTTTCTTTAAGTGAATACGTCTGTTTTCCGTATCAGTGATTTTCCAGTCTTCTGCCAGGATCTTCATTGCTGGACCTCACTGGGAAGCAAAAGTGATCAGCAGACCCAGTATTAAGATACATGGTGGGACATCATTTGTCTCAGAGCAGCCAGGTGATGGCTGTTCTGTTACAACACTGTGTTGGTACCCCATGAAAACTGCAGCCTCTAAGGGCAAACACCCAACCTCATAAGCGTTGAAGAGCAGCATGATTCACCTTTCTCTGTTGGAGAGATAGGAAAGTCATGATTCTGCTCGAAAGGGTCAGAATAGTGTTACCCTGTTCAGATGTGGGACAGGTCACTTGGAGATTCTCCTATCAGTTGATGTGGCATTGCATTGCTAAATTGATGTGTAAGAGATAATTGAGTTATTTTGAAGCTTATAAATAGAGTGCTGGAAATTATTTTTACATTTTGTCATGAAAACCATACAGATGAAAATCTGAAAAGTCATTCTGGACTGCATGAAGGATTTTGAGCTATTTTTGATGCATTAGCCTAATATATAAATACACCATTTTTGGCCAGCATTAGACAACCCAGGATGTTCATTCAGTATGAAACATCTTTTCATATTTTGCTTACAGATGTTCAGAACAATTCTGTTTATCTGTATATTCATAAGCTCTTTGAAATCTGCATAGCTCAAGTGGCACTGAAATCAGAAGGGAAAAAAACTCTGCTCTTGTTATTCTTAAATTGGTTATGTACAATTACCATAAAAATATGTAGCTAACGATGATTTTCATAGAAACAGGGCAGTTTATAAATTTATGGTTCAAGTCGTTAACATCTAAGCAGGTAATTTTATTTTGGTTTGGGTTTTTTTATTTGTTTTCAGTGACTATAATGTAAGAAAAATAGGTGTGTATGCCTGTTTATTATCCAATATTATTTAGAAGACTTAGGGAAGATAACAGTTTAGTTAGTTAAACGAATTTGTAATCTAGTCAATTCTCAGTACCTTTCTGAAGCAGATTCTCTTGTACACAAGTCCCGTTTCTTAATAATTAATAATGTAATATAACTTAGTTATTACTAAATTAATTTCTGTGTTGAATTACTTAAAATACTTTAGTCTGAGGTTATTTAACATGTCCTGTACAGCAAACCCATGCGTTTTTAAGGAATAGTTTTGCCTCTTTCATACCAATTAGTCTTTTGAGTCTTTTTGAGACTATTCCATAGTCTTTTTGAGTAGGAATTCCAGTTCTCCTTAAAATGTCTAGGCTTTCAAATGTCATCCAGAAGACTTCTAAATATCTGATGAAACAGTGTGGAGAAAGGGAGAATTAATTTCTTGCTCTGTTACCTCCTATCCCTTTGGTCAGTTGATGATTTACGAAATTAATACCATCTCTACTTCATCTTAGTTATACTTGAAAAAGAGGACAAGACAGCTGTTAAAGTCCAGAGGTTGATGGTTATCATGTCTTTGCTTTAAGAAGGAAAATGTCTGTGGAGGGTTTGACTCCACGATGTGGGGCTTATTTTACATACTTATGCATAAACAGCATGATCATTAAAACCAACAACAGAAACTCTGACTAGCATTTTTCGCAAGTTATTAATAGCAATAGAGAGAAAATGTAAGATAAGAAAATATCTCTTTCTCAGATTTCCCATTCTCTACAAAATACAGATGTATGCCCAATGACAAACTGACATTATGTCGAGACAGTCCC